TTGCTAGTAGTTAAATTTTCACAATATGTTTAATGCTGCAAAAAGAGTTTGTAATAAGGTTACTCATCGGGGAAATAAAAAAAGAGGTAGTACTTCTGCTTCAGCATCTGGTAGTAATTTAAATGACTCTATACATATTCCTGAAACATTAACTGATAGTAATATAGATTATCAACAATTACAGGAAAATTTCGGTATAAAAGATAATGAATTAGAAATGGAAGATCAGATACCACTTACACCTAGTAGTGTTGGAGCTGGTAGCAGGGGTGGTGGTGATGGTGCTAGTAGTAGACCACCTGTGGCCCCGACTACTAATCGGAGAAAAAGAAGTAAGGTTTGGAAATTTTTTGACGAAATAGAAGGTACTGATAGAGTTAAATGCAAACTTTGTAATAATACTTTTAAACATAAGACTGGAGGACAATTAGGGGGACCGGGACACTTAGTAAACATATGAGAATTGAGCATCCTATAGAATGGGGCTCTGATGGAGATGAAAATCAAGCAACTCTAAACCCTACTACTGGAGGACTTATGAAATATAATAAAATGAAGGATTGTGAGGAGTTAGCAAAAATGATTGCTTTGGGTTGTCTACCTTTTTCTTTTGCTTCTTCATCATATCTTATTATGTATATTCAAAGGATTTATAATCCTTCATTAAAAGGTATCCCTAGAAGTACTTGTAGATCTGATATCTTTAGACTTCATCGACAATATCAAACATACATACGTTATTTGTTTAGCCACCTTCCTTGTAGAGTTTCTCTAACTTCTGATATTGGCCATGCTGTTAATGGAAATGATTATTTGACAATTACACGTCATTGGATAGATAATAATTATTGTATGCAAAAACGTATTATCGATTTAAATATGATGAAGATCAGAGTGATACTGCTGTGTTTATAAGTACTACTATTTGTTAAGCTGAATTTTATAATCTCAAACAAAAAGTATTGTGTATGTCTTTTGATAATGCTTCTAGCAATAATGCCGCAATTTCAATATTAAAATTGCATTTACAACCACCACTTGACGAAATTTTTCATGTTAGGTGTGCATGTCATGTTTATAATTTAATTGTTAAAAGTGGTCTTGATTTATTTTCAACTGAGATTACTCATGTTAGAAGAGAAGCTGGTGTTATTCAAGGAAATAATAGACAATCTAGAATTAGGGAATTTAAGAATAAGTATACCGAGCATAACCTTAAACCCAGATTCATACCAGACGAAATTGTTACCAGATGGAATTATACATATATATTTTCAAAATGTTGCTACAAATATAGATGCCCAATAACTGAAGTTGCTAATGTGCATTGTACTGATCCAGACCATATGTTAACAACTACTACTTGGGAGGTCATTAATGGTGTTGTTAAATTTTTACATAAATTTTATACAGCTACTGTTGAGTTTTCTAGAGCATATTACCCTACTGTTCCTATGGCTTTAGTACCTATAGCTGAAATTTCTTTTAAACTCTTTGAATTTAAGAAGAAAGAAAAATATAGGGATGTTGTTAAACAAATGCAAGCAAAATTCAAAAAAAATTTCTTTCCAATTTCTCCGATTTACTTAATTGGTGCTGTTTTAAATCCTTCTATTAAGATGTCTGATTGTTACCAATTAATGAATGCTTTATATACTTATATGGAGATTGGACCAACTGAAACCCCAGATATATATGTTTGTATGAACAAGCTACATGATTATTTACAACAATTATATAATTATTATGCAAATATAATTGATGATGATGCTTTTAATGTAGGCAATGTTAATCCCACTATGCACTGTACCACTTCTACTACTATGGATGATGATGAAGGCCTTGATAGTTTTAATATTTTTTCTACATTTTCTAACACTCAAACTAGTAGCAGGAACATTGATAAACTTCAATTCTACTTGCAGAAGCAAAAAGAGCCTCACACAAAGGAATTTTCACCATTGGGATGGTGGCATGAGAATGGAAAGCAATTTCCTGTTCTTTCCGCTATGGCTCGGGACGTGCTGAATGTGCCAATTTCAAATGTTGTGTCAGAGAGTCCAAGCAAGACAACAACTTGGAGACACCCGTCACTAATTGGGAAGCAATGCTTTGGAAGTTTTAGTATGTTTCAGAGATTGGATTAGATCGGAACGAAGAAATCAAGGACGTGAAGATGTTAATAGCCCAGAAGACGAGGAACTTGGAGATATATTAACGCATGGTAACCCATCTGAATTTAACACTCCAGAAGAAGGCCAATCAGTTCATATTGATTACGAAGAACTTACTAAGGCAATGCAAAACTTTTGAATTTACTCTTTTTTCGTTAATTTACTTGTAGTTAAATGTAAACCTTTCAATTTGTAAGTTTGAATTTTGAAATAAATGTAGCACTTGCAATTTATAAGTGCAATTTTTTCCCATCTTCATTATATTCTTTATATTTTTACTTTATATTAATATAACTTACAATAGTTATACAAAATACAAAAAAAAAAATTAAAAATTACACTAACCCGGCCCCTTGTACCCGTAACCCGTACGATTCATTTTTTACCCGGATGAACCCGAACCCGTTAAACCCGGTAAGCCCTAACCCGTAACCGGCCCGGTTCCCAACCCGTTCGGTTCCAAAATTTGCCTACCCAGCCCGACCCGGCCCAGCCCACCCGTTAGACACCCTTACAGGAGGAAGACTTACATACACTGTTAGTGTTAGTATTCTCATGACCGTTGGGGTATCCTCTAAATTTAGAAGAGTTGTTACTATTGAATTACCTAAAAGCATGTGAAACTGGACTCTTTGAAAGTAGAAGAAATAAAGGGGATATAAGAAAGACACTCAAAATTATCAAATGTCAACAACAAATGCAGGAAAAAAGTATTTAGATGCGAAAAGAAACGGAGTCAAAAGCGAATAGTTTGTCACACTAACCTAAAATAACTTAAAGAGAGAGTTCTTAGTAGAGGAATTTCAGAAAAACAAAAAAAGTTGAGTGAATAAATACAAAGTACTTCTCCATGGAAAGAGGAGGAAAAGCAACATGGAGCTGAGGGACCATTAAAACAACAGATAATAGCATGATTGTTTAAATGAGAAGAGATAATAACATCATATGACCAATCAGAGAATAAAGGATAAAGAGGTGCAGATGAAGGAAAAAGGGATGCAGATGAAGGAAAAGGGGTGCAAAGCAAGAAAACAACCAAATTCAGATTTCAAGAAAGGAGCTTTCCAGCATTATATTAGATGTCGAATCAACCCTACCTTTAGGTTCCCAATCAGTTAATGACAAATATATAGCAGCATTTGTCAATATTTAAGAAGACTACCAAAAATATGCAAGCGCTTCAAAGCCCTTACATTAGGAGGGCCCTTCAAGAAGGCAGAGATGCAAGTGCATCTAGCATAAACTGGAGAATGGTAGATAAAAAACCCTGATGGACAGAAAAGATATTAGAGCAGGCAAGGGTCCTGAGTTCGAGTCTCATTGTTACTTTTTTTTTTTTGTGAAATGGTAAAGGTATTATTAATAAAGTTACCAAGATGGTACAAATAAAGCACAGGACTCCAGAAAGACTAGAAGATATTGTACTATAACACAAAAGCAACTACATCCTTCCTACTATCTGATCTAAGAAATCCATATATTGATCCATACTTCCAATATACCTACTATTACACTAGAAAAAAAGATTATGGAAACACTTATTCTTAATTTTAGAAATAAGAATTAAATAAATACTGCTACATTTATTTTTTTTAAAAATCATGTAATTCGCCCATGGAGAAAAAAAATCAAGCATGCACGTGACGAGACATGTTAAAGACATAACTAAATAAATAAAGAATGCTCGGCCAAACAACTTAATTTTTAGATGAAATGACACCTATGTTGCGCGGACTCTTCAAATTTCCTGCCATACCCGTGTCGACACGACATTCATGTGGGTTCCACATCGGATATTATGGTCAACCGATTTTGGGTACTTTGACCAAAGCTACAGAAAAATTCAAGATAAAATACATATTGACTTCCAACATCAAAACAAAAGCTAGGGTAAATTTGAAGCGGGTATGCCGCTATTGGGGAAGGCCTTTAGATGGATCCAGCAACTCTTGCTTCTTCTTTTTTTTCTTTTTTAAGGGAGAGAAGCAGAGAGCTTCAAAGAGGGACTTGCAGAAGACAGGCATTCGACGAGAGATACTAAAAAATATTGTACCCCATTTGTTCTCCATTATAAGCAAATCAATATAGTGAAAGCTTGACGTGTTTGCTAGATCTTCAAGAGTTTTATCTCCCTATAATTTGGTTCATTCTAGTTAGCATTCTTCCGTGTTGAGAAATTTTGTGAATGAACGGCAGAATTATTGGTTGCACTCCACGGTCCACAACCGACAAGTAAGTTTTTCACAAAATATTTCTCATAATTTAGGAAATTTTTATAAATTTATTTTTAGAATTTTAAATTATTTTTTGCCAAATCCCTGCACTCGTATCCGTATCTGGATCCCGTATCCCCGAATCTTAAAATTTAGATTATGAAGGATCTGACCTCTAGATCCGCACCCGGATAGGATGACACACCCGTCAACACCTCTAAAAGCATGCTTATCTACATTTATTCACTTAGTTCAAAAGGACTCCCTTGGTCCAAATTGATTGTTCCATAACATGTGGTATTAGTGTTTTTTGGGGAAATATGTGGGCGCAAAATTTACTTTTCAGCTTACAACACAACATAGATCCTACCAGCAAACAATCAAGAAGAGCATTATAAATCTGATTTGAAACCTAGCAGACTAGTCACTTTGCTAATTCTTCATTCATAATTTGCACTGTCTCCAAAATATTAAAAAATAAGCAATTAGAAGTAAATAATTAGTAACTGAAGTAGCACAGATTCTATTAGCATACAATTAAAAAGTTGATTTCACAAATCCTCCTTAAACCTAGCAGCGTCAATGATTCTTTTAAATTTCTTTAAACCGTCTTTATTAGATATGTGGATTAGTGAAATCTACAAACCTGAGGTGTTGATGGAAGCATGTAAAGTGTATTATCAGGAGTTTGATAAAATGCTGAAACCTCTTGCTCAATAAGATCTTTTGCACAGTTTGATAAATCTACGAGCACAGTGCAAGCAGGAATTATAGAACTTGATGAATAATCCCTTGCAGCTGATGGCTGCTGACTCCAAAATGCTGCAGCATCCTACATAGCAACAGGGAAAATTTTATGCAATCAAACAACTAATAAATTTCTCCTAACTAGCTCAGGATTGAGGCTTAGTTGTTGTTGTCACTGTAGTTGTAATCCCTTAAAAAATTTACTAGATTCTCCAGCATAAAAGCATAAATATGTCAGTGGAACATCTAATTTATTAACAAATTGGAAAATCTTCAGTGAAGACACACTGAGATGCATATATATCGGAATGGGCATCAAGTTGCACATCAATGTACATATAACCTACTACTTCCACCCAATTTTGTTTAACCAAATGCTGTCCAATAATTTATCCAGTAAACCTTTCAAACTAGGTCGTCAAACAATGCATATGTTAAAACTTCAGTGTTCTAACAGGTACCACATTTTTTTGCACCTTTGTACAAATCTATAAAAGTCTAAGACGTAAGACATTTCTCATGCCTTATCCTATATTCACTCATTTCTCAAACATAAAATGGGACAGAACTAGTACATTAGACAAGGTTGGGCTGCTGAAGCCATATTAATTATGCCAATAACTTCATCATATGGTCCCTTTGCTTCAATCTTTATGACACTCTTCGATTTAGGGATGTCCCAGAATATTACACAATCCCATACCTATACAACTTTTAAGATTCAAATTCATTATACAATTCGTTCAGCTTTTCAACCATACTTTAGTGTTTTCTTCAACTATTGACAATATAAAAAGGTAAATCAAATACTTTTACTTGTAACTCATCCAGCAACCTCTTCTTGGTGTTTTTATTATATATAATATGCCACTCTTTACCGACTAAAAAAATAAAATAATAATAATAATAAAGAGGTAAGTCAAATTAACATCTCAGACTCTGACCAGTCAAATGTTTGTTGTTATATATAGAATAGAATTGAGGGAGTACTAGATAATGACCATTTTGGTAAATGATCAACATAATTGTAAGCCATGGGAAATTTCACTTTTAGTTTCCAACAAAAGTATTTAGNGCCCTCCCTCCAAAAAAGGAAATAAAAATGTTAAAACAGAAGGCTGGTGTAGTGACATATCGCACCGCATAGATGGACATAAGTTCAGTCGTACCATGCTTGCCTTCAGTAGGGCACTATAAATAGATTCAAGCTCTGATCGCCGAGCATCAAATTCTTCGATCTTCTTCCATTTCTTTCTCAAAGAATCTTCAGCTTCTTTTCTCTCCGCGCACAATGTATTTAAACGTTGTATTTCAGACATTAGAGTGTTCACGCTAGCTCTTAATCCAGCTGCTTCTCTTTCCTTTGTCCAGACCTCCAGCTACAAAAGGAAGAAAAAAATTGCAAGGACATCCCACGTGTACAAAATCAATAAATAGGTTTCATACAAGTAACCGGGCTTGTGCTAGAGAAGATTATAAGATTACACGCAAGACCAGCATGTTTGAAACTACCAAGAGAAAGCAGACAAACCAAAGGAAAGTAAAGCACTATTCAACACCTTTAAAAATACAATATATTCAATATTTACATCTCTAAACTTAATCAGAAGAAGTACGATAACCCTTATAATAATAACACTATTCAATCAATAGTTGCCCACGCACAACTTCAGAATGTTCTTCAAAGAAACCAAGAAAGGTGTCGCATCCCACTTTACCACAGGTCCACAGCCTATGCAGTATTTTTAAGTTTTATAAGAGAGAAGTCAAACCTCAAGTTGTCTGAGGCTGCTCATACTCTTTGATGTTCCACCAATTACTAGTGAGTGTGAAGAGATTGCATCACCAGTTCCTTGCAGGCGCTTTAAAAGCTGTTGACTCATATTTCTTGCTTCTGCGGCTTTATTCAATGCATCTTCGGTAGCCATGAATTGCTGAACATGTGCTTTCTGCATAGGACAACAAATCAGACAGTTTAGAAAATATACCAAAATAAACAGATTTTCTGCATATAAAAATGAAAGGTCTTAGTTCTTACAACCGTAAAAACAAGTGTATATCTAACAATGAACTCACAGCATCCATGTCAGGTTAAAAATTGGGAAGGAAGTATAACAGATGGGAAACACTCAACTAATAATCAAGTCAAATTGGAAACCCAATTCAGGTCAAAGGGAGCAACAGTTTACGAAGAGCTCCAAAAGGATTTCAAGAAACAAAAAAAAATAAGGCAATCTATTAAAAAAGCCTAAGGAACTTCGCAAAGTAAAAACTTGAAGGTGGCAAATAATTATACGCGATGACATAAAAAAGGACCTGTCTCTCAAGAAGTTGATTTTGAGTCCCTCTTGAAGACGCATCACCTCCAATTTTGCCATTTCCATAAAGCTGATACTGTAAAGGTGACGTTACATCAGGAGAAGAAGCATCCATTACTCTGTCATTCTCGTACTTGTACCTGATTTGAAGTTAAATATTGATAACAATGAATAGGTACATCATCATACCACAATTATCATAAACTGGCTTCAAGCAGATACACCTTACCACAAAATCAAGCGGAACCAAAGAACTCTATCCCTTTCAAATCGGTGGCCTTGTCAGAAATTACATGTTTTATTAAACAGATAATTTGAATTAGTTTACCTTTTCATTCCATCAATCAACTCTCAAATAATTGGGTCAGCTATATCAATCTTCTGTATGCATTCCACTCTCATGTCCATTTCATTCTAATACTGAATGGTTTATCTTGTAAGGCAAGTCAGAGATTCTTTAAACCAGATTTTCGAAATCTTGCAATTAACCCCAGACGGGTATAAAAGTGCCTAACCAGAATAAAAGGACTCCCAACACCGAACTTAATATAAGCGTCACAGCAACTAAGTATAGTTCTAACTAGTTTGCATCGACTATAATTGGTATGACACTTATCTCTGATTAATTTACCTTTTGATATATTAAAATATGAGGAAGTGCAACAGTTGATCAATTGAATTTTTGGTCATACATAATTAAAGTCAGAAGTTTCCACACACTAAAATGAACATATATTTCCCATAAAAGTAAATTTACCAAATCAGGTAACTGCAAAAAGAAACAAGAAAACAGGAAAATAGGAGTTATAGTAGTTTTCAGTTGCTCATTCAAATAATCACAGCAAAGAACAATCAGAATCCAAGGTAGGCGGAATTCCACTCATAAATGAAGATTTTAAAGCTATTTCTAAGAAGATCAGATTACCTTAGAATCTCTGCATCAGCTCTAACATCAACTTTCTCTATTTCTCGAGTAATCGAAGTCTTCAGATTTTGAGCATATGCAGTGATTGCCTGTAGCAACTGAGGAGGACTTTTCAGGCAACTTACAATTGCATCTCTTACTTCATCGGGCAAATCACCATCAAGGTCAATACCTAACTTGGCAGCTTGTAACAGAGAATTCATATGGATTCCACTTCCTTCATAAGCAGGAAAAGAGTTGTGAATCTTTTCAGCCATCTGCATAGCAAGAGACTCGCATGCCTTCCTGATATTTCTTTCCCATGTTGTTTCAATGAGAATGACATCCTCTGCACTTTTGGCTCCTTTAAAAGTTGAATAAACAGATTCTTTCTCATTTGCATGAAAAGTAGTAATCACCTCCGCAGAAGAATCAACACTAGACCGCTTAACATTCCTTGCTTGGCTAACATAATAACTTAGACGTTTATGGTACTCCGAAAATATTTTTGCAGCTTCATCACACTGTTGGTCATAAGCCTCCAGCATTACTTGTTTATGTCTGCACTTAAAAAGTATCAATATCAGCTATACTTAATGCCACCAGTGCTAACCAGTCTGGAAACAGGTTCTTGTTGCTTATGGACAGAAAATGGGCAAGTTTAACAATGACCAAAATAATCCAACCCGTCCCATCCCTACCTTCAGAGAGTCAGTAGTAATAGTCACAAGGTTAACTCGATTTCATATTATCAAAGTGAATCCAAAAATTTAGAGTAAATGAACTTGGAGTTGGTATAGTCGATTATATATACATATTCCTCGGCTTGATGATCAATGAAGTGAGAGGAACAATTATGTCTCAAGTTCAAATCCCGGCGGTGGCAAAAAAGGTGATTTCTTCTCATTCGCCTAAGCCTTGATGGGCAGATATACCCACTATCTATACTGGTGGGAGGTAGCAGGTACCCGGTAATAGTCGAGGTGGACACAAGCTAGACCGATACCACCATCATTATTATATAAACACACACACACATACATTTGCTTCTTCTTTTTTGGGTATACGTATACATGGTCCGAGCAGAATGTAATGGATTCAATTAACTGCTAGAAGAGATAGATTTGCCTTTTGCATATTACACTTTAAGATGAGGCATCGACGCAAGACTTTCTTCTATAAATAAGCTCATCACTGGAATCAAAATTAAGAACAACACAAAGCTAGTAGTTACTAATAGATGACAAAATAACGTTACAATAAGCTAATTTTCAGAGAGGATACCTATAGTTAGACCTCTCGTCAAGCATGCGCTTACGCTCAGCCTCCTCCCTCGAGACCTCCAACATCCTTGCCTTCAACTCTTTCCTCTGACGCCTCACTATCTGCCTTAGCCTTTCCACCTCTTTCTCCGCCAAGTCTCTCTCCTGCAATGCAAATTCCCTACTATTCTCACCCAAACCATTGTCCCTACCCACTCCCCCTACCTTCTCCTTCTTCTTCCCTTTACTCCTCCCTGAATCAACAGCATTAACATTTTCATCATCTTTTCCGTGCACAAGGATATTGCGGCGGATTTTTTCAACAGTTTTCTCGGATTTCACTCTGTTCAAGAGGAAATTCCAAATCGGTAACATGTTCCCACGGCAAATCTTGCGAAGCGAATCGATGGTGGGCATTGCTGCTTTGCTTGAAGCTGCGTATGAACCTAAAGGTTGGTACCCCATCTCCTTCTGAAGCCATTCCAGTATAGCTTCTGGTTGTACGGACCCTGCCATTATCGGAACTAGGGTTTCCAATTTCCTAAAAAATGCAGCTAAGTTCACTCCAGTAGCGAAAATTCTCAAACTAACGCATAGTTAGTTGATCAATTGATACCCCAAAAACGCGAACTGGTGCAAAATGGGAGTGTTTAAAAAACTAAAACTCGGGGAAGTAAGATGGGAGAAATGAATTTTCATAAAAGATGAACAGATCTGAAGAATGTGATTGCCGGCAGTGGTTAGAGTAGAAGTAGCGTGGCCGTAAGGGATCTGTAGCTTAGTGGGTCACTGGATCCACACTCGTAATGTACAGAATTACGAAATGGACAATTGAAACACAAAGACAAAATAGTGAAAGTTCAAAATATAGAAGGTCCCGCTCGAATCATTACGCGTGCTAAATGCTAATGCTTCACCTTCACTGCCGCCCGGCCCAAACGTTCTACAAGGTATAGTTAGAGTTTTTAGTCAAAACTAGGTAATAAACTCGCGCTTCGCGCTCGATTAAACAATTTTTTTTTTTTTTTGGTGAAATAAGTCAATGTAGAAGAAATAGAATATTATCATATAAAAAATAATAAACTATAATGTAAGCCATACATAAGAAAAATGCTAAATATCAAACATATATGAAAAGGTACATATACGAAAAAAAAAAAAAAAAAAAAAAAAAATAGAACAATGCTTACCTTTTTGTATAAACCATTTATAAGGTTTTCATACAAAAAGTATTTGTTTAAACTTATAGGTCTGTTTTACTTCAACTTTATAATAAAAAATATTTTAAGTTTCTCCCTTAATAATTTATTACTCTAAAGAGATTTTAACTTAGAAGTATCAAAAAGTTGTACATACATACAAAAAGAATATTTTACAGATACATAATGAGATTGTACCATCCATGTTAGCTTGCCTATTAGCGTTTCTTTTCTTCCATGGAGTAGAATGCTTGCGTGGTTAAGAAAAAAAAAATAGGGCAATAAGGATGTATTCAACAATTCCTATGTTAAATAGGTTTTACCAAAAGAAAAAAAAAAAGAGAAGGGAAGGACAAACTCTATGGAAAAAAAAAAACGACTACATAAAGCTGAGATATTAACATATCTGGTCAATAAACTATACTAATAGCGGAAGGGGAAAAGTGTGAAGCATATATAAATAGGTGTTAACCATCTAATTAATAAATAACGACGGGGAAGGGAAGAATTAAATATAGTAAAATTTGGGCGCTTAAAAGTAAAGTAGGTAGAAAATGAGAGAGAGAAAAAAGCGAGGAAAAAATAATTCTTCTTTTTAATTTATTTATACACAAGGGATGTGCCAATGCACATTTGCTATGACCAAAATTATACACGCACACAGAAGAATCCTGTTAATAATAGGCTGTTATTTTATCTTACCTTTTAATATATTATTGGAGAGATTTGACTCCAATAAGGATGTTATTACTTCTATAAAAATCGTCCATCTGTCATCATTTCAAAGGTTGTTTTATGCCTTCTCAGACATTGTTCCTGAAAATAAAGACTATATTTCTTGCAAGTATTATAGACTCAATACCATCTAGCCCAACGAAAAACAAATGTCATGTTGCTTTGAAGAGCGAGAAAAAACTTAGAAAACTTCATGCTTTGGATGATAGTGCGACTAAAAGAATCAAATAAAACTATTCAACTGCACTACGGATAAAAACAAAAAAGCATAATATGAACTCATAAAAGACCATGTAATTCCATATATATACATACGAATCGATCAAAATCATTGCGTCAACTCCTTCCTCAACTGCTACGACATTGAGTATACTGTACTGAAATAACAGAGTTACACGGGTACGCAGTAAACATAAGCATACCCATTATATGTCAAAACTACCAATATAATCACGATTCATTAGAAAAATTGGAAAACACGCCTCAATATGTTCAAATCATACACAATCGCAATTGATATTGTAGCACAATATTACTAAGAATTAACATGGCATGGTATAAACTTTCTACCTTGGCGATTGTTTCCACTCCTCTTCCTCCATGCCTTTTCTTTTTACCCTACTCTCAAAGCATGGAATAAAATTGATGAGGCTTTGGTCTTCCTAATATTTGGTTGTGACTTTTGGTAACGGGCGAGGCTTTGGTCTTCTAGTAAATGGAAAGGTTTAATTAGTGGTGACTTTTAGTAACGGCTGGAAACGGTTAAGGTTTGTGACTTTGAAGTTTAACATTTTTATTGAATTGTGTATAAAAATGAGGGAAAATGACAAAAAAGAAAAATACATTTCTTGAGTTTAGAGAGTGCCACCTCACCTTGACCAAGGACTTGCTTTATATTAATATATAGATTATCCCTTACCATTAAGGGCAGGTTCAATTTTGTCCTTTAAATTATACTGAGTATTATTAGTCCTCTAAATTTGCAAAATATGAGCATATTTAGTGCCCGTTTGGACATAAAATTTGATGGAAGATTTTTTCAAAAAAAATTACTTTTTTCCGAAATCAGCATTTGTTCATAAAATTTTCAATTTTCACTTGAAGATGCATTTTGAAAATTTTTGAATTTGAAAAACTGTAAAAAGTTATTTTTTAAAATTTTCACTCAAATCACTCACAAAATTTCAAAAACAACCCAAACTGAAATTTATATCCGAACACAACTCTAAATTTCAAATACCATCTTCACTTGAAAAAAATTTCACCATTTTTTCGAATTTTACAATTCTTATGTCCAAACGCCTAGTTAGTCTAAGTAACAAAAAATACTCACTTCCGTTTGAAAACTGTCACGACCCGGACTTTCCACCCTCGGGAGTCGTGACGGCACTTACTAGTGAAAGCTAGGCAAGCTAACCAATTGAATTATTTACCTTGTTTCCATTCTAAATCCATTAACAATTAAGAACCAGCAGTTATCAATCAACAAAATTTACTAAGCGGAAGATTAAATTTCAAGTTTAATAATATTGTAAATACCATTCCATAACAAATTTACCCAAGACTGGTGTCACAACTTCACAGACTGTCTAGGAGTACTACAAATAAAGGTCTGGAAGAAATACATACAACACTGTCTCTGGAAATACATGAAAGAAACAGGAATAGTAGATAGAAGGAGACGCCAAGGCCTGCGGACGCTTGCAGGACTAACTCGGGTCACCTGATGAATAAGAAACAGCAATCTCACTGCGGTCCAAAATCTACAGCACTGGGATCTGCACAAAAGAGTGCAGAGTGTAGTATCAGCACAACCGACCCCATGTGCTGGTAAGTACCTAGCCTAACCTCGGCGAAGTAGTAACGAGACTAGGACCAGACTACCAAATAAATCTGTGCAGTTAAATCATATACAACGGAAATACAACAACAACAACAACCCAGGAAAATCCCACAAGTGGGGTCTGGGGAGGGTAGTATGTACGCAGACCTTACCCCTACCCCAAAGGGGTAGAGAGGCTGTTTCCGAAAGACCCTCGACTCAAGATAATAAGAAAAACCAGAAAAACAAAAGGGGAGAATATTAGTTTCACCATAGAGATCATAGGAAAAATAGGAACCTAAAATGCATAAGAAAAATATAAGACAGAAATGATGGCTAGTAAATAGATCTAGCACCGAAAAGAGAAAATATTAAGATGGGACAATGCCCCTAGTAATTTTCGATTAAAACCTTACCCGACTAGGCTCACAATGGAACAAAGTAACGCAAGACTCAACTAGCTCCTAGCCTACAACTGTAATACTCGACCTCCACAAATTTCTATCAAGTGTCATGTCCTCGGAAATCTGAAGTCTCGCCATATCCTACCTGATCACTTCTCCCCAATACTTCTTAGGCCGCCCTATACCTCTTCTCGTGCCCTCCACAACCAGCCGCTCACACCTCCTCACTAGAGCATCTGGGCTTCTCCTCATTACATGCTCGAACCATCTAAGCCGCGCTTCTCGCATCTTGTCATCAATGGGAGCCACGTGCACCTTCTCCCGAATATCATCATTTCTAATCTTGTCCATCCTAGTGTGCCCGCACATCCACCTCAACATTCTCATTTCAGCTACTTTCATCTTTTGGATATGTGAGATCTTAACAGGCCAACACTC